GCGGTGGTGGTCACGGCCGCTGGCGCAGCAGATCAAATTGGCGATCATGGGAGACCTTCCGCCTGCGTATAGAGAAACACCGAACGCTCATTAGGATCAGAAAAGTGGAAATCATACTAGCTGATTCATTCTGCAATCTTTAGAAAACGCCCAACTGCTCTCTTCTCTTGTGAACGACACATGTTTACTCAAATGTATATACGGATGCCACAAAGCTAATGTCCTGGCTGATTGTGGGTTCGCCTCCAGCGTGTGTAATAATACCTAGCATGAGAAAAGACGTGAACCTCATGAGTGAGACCACCAAGTACAAATCCGTTTGACTTTGTTTCGTCGTATCTTGGTTTACAACGTACCACAATTCGTACTCAGTACATAACTTTGCCGATTTCATCAGTATTGCCTTTGTAAATGATGCCGAGTAACTTTCTACGCGATACTTTTTTATGAGCTAACATACGCTGCGTACCCAAAATGCTGCGCGACTCAGCGCGAGATCAGGAGAAATTGGCGTACGTGCCACCTAGGCTCCCCCGGTTTGTGAAGCAGATATAGGGTTCAAGTCTCTGGGCTTGTGAAGGTCCTTCTTTGACAGCTGCTAACAGCTTCTCTATTATTATCATACTCAAAATTTGACTTCATGATCATGGGAGGCCGTATGATCAACATCGACGGCTCTCGAACTAATATTGATTCTGCGCCAGTTTCAGCCCTTCACAGCTGCGAACCAGCCTCGTCCATTACCCGTTATTATCCGCTGCACGCTTTCAGGCTCTCACTCTCAACCTTGGAAGCTTCTCGAGCCATATCACATTCATAATCAGGTCCTGATCTATTGCATTATGAGGCATCTATGAGGTATTTCCAAGGGTACTAGAGTAGGATGGGGTCCATATAGATGTCTTTATTGTTTTTCTCTCAACTGGAAATGTGGGAGCTGAGACCTGCTTCTTGAATCATATACATTTCTATATAAAATGAAGCCATAGGTGACTTCCGGGGTAAGGAAGTTGTTGCCAAGACTTTACGTAAAAGAGACTTATACCGTGAGTCGACCACGCCAAAAACGGTACCACGTGAAATGGCGTGCTCAGAAGGAGTGAGATGATCATAGGTAGGATTGAGAAAGATAGACAACAAAAACTTTCTCACGATGAAGAGTGTCTGAGCATGTAGAGGATTCTCACAGTTCGCATTGTGCTGGAAGTCATCACAAGACAAAAGCCCTAGTGCTATCCCCGTCGCCCACTGCGGGGTCGAGCTACACCACACAGTTCTGCACTTACAACCATGATCGCCGACCTCGAGAAGACCACCGCGTCAAAGGATAATGCCCTCGAGTCGAAATCAGCGCAGCATGAAGATGTCAACATCTTGCACCCGGTGGTGGCCGACAAGCTGCGGCGGTCTCTGTCGCCTCGACAGGTGCAGATGATCGCCATTGGTGGGACCATTGGGTAGGCCCCCCCCCATCCTTTTTGTCCATACAAAAACTCTGCACACGGAAGGTGTAATAAATCAACAAAACTGAGCATTTCATATTTTTTTTTTATAGCACCGGACTGTTTCTCGGCACGGGCAAGGCTCTTGCTACAGGCGGGCCTGCCTCGCTTCTCATCTGCTATGCGATCGTTGGCGGCATGGTCTTCGTTACGATGCTGTCACTGGGCGAGATGGCAGCATACGTCCCCGTGGCAGGAAGTTTCTGTACGTTTGCCGGGCGCTACGTGGACGATGCGCTTGGTTTTGCGCTTACGTGGAATTACTGGTTCAACGACGTCGTCTCGACGGCGGCGGATCTGGTGGCATTGCAGCTGCTCGTGCAGTACTGGACGGCTGATTTCCCATGGTATGCGCTGGGCATCATCGTATGGGTCATTATTGTTTTGACCAACACGATCAATGTCCGCGCCTACGGTGAGCTCGAGTATTGGCTCTGCTTGCTCAAGGTGGTGACTATTGTCATTTTCATCATCCTCAGCATCGCTGTGAACTGCGGCGCAAACACCTCGCACGAGTACATTGGCGCCCGGTACTGGTATCTCCCTGGTGCGCCCTTCGTAGGCGGGATCGGAGGCTTCGCCAGCGTCTTTGTTACAGCATCCTTTGCCTACGGCGGAACGGAGAGCATCGCCATTACAGCCGGCGAGACACGCGATCCAGCCCGACAGCTTCCCCGGGTCGTCAAGAATGTATTTTGGCGGATACTGGGGTTCTACCTTCTTTCCGTGCTGTTGATTGGATTGAATGTGCCGTATAATTACCCCAGCCTGAGCACCAAGACGACCAGCACATCACCATTCACCCTAGCATTCCAGATGGCCGGATCCAAGGTGGCCGGCTCCTTTATGAACGCGGTCATCATGACGAGCGCAATCTCCGCAGCGAACCACGCCCTCTTCGCCGGTACTCGTCTCATGTACACCCTGGGCGTCAACGGGCACGCGCCCAAGGTCTTTGCGAAGCTCACACGCTACCAGATACCGCTAGTCTCCGTCCTCACGACATCCATCCTCTCCGGTCTGCTGTTCGGGGCCTCTTTTATCGGCGCTGGGCAGTTCTGGACCTGGTTGCAGAACATTGTCGGTGTGTCGAACCAGCTTTCATGGATCAGCATTGGTGTGTCGTCCTTGCGCTTCCGAGCGGGTCTAAAAGCCCAAGGGCGAGAGGACCTGTTGCCTTTCAAGAACTGGACATATCCTTATGGACCTATTGTCGTTGTCGTTCTCGGCACCGTGATTGTACTTGTCCAGGGATGGAGCTGCTTCAGTCCCAGCTTCAGTCCAGTTGATTTTGTGAGCTACTATATCGAGCTACCTATATTTGCCCTCATGATTGTGGTTTGGAAGCTAGTGAAGAAGACGAAATTTCAGAAGGCCTCCGAGATGGATCTTGTGACGGATGTATACACAAAGGAGGACGCTGAGCCCCGTGAGGAGGGACACTGGAAGAGCAAGGCGAGGAGTGTTGGGACTTGGTTCTGCTTTTAATATGATATCCCGAAATGGAGTATTCTCGAGACCAAAACGCTGATCCCTCAATCTGAAGCCACGCTCGTGACATTGCCACCGCATACATCATGTATGTCCTGAAATCTTGCTATCATGAGCGAAATGCAGGTCGCGTTTCGTCATGCAATCGCGATTCGACTGAAGACAGACGTGGCCATTATGTAACAAGCACAGGTGACGAAGTAAGGCATGCCTAACGCAGCTCCTCCCAGACCAATTCCTCGTACCCATAGCACTGCCATGAGAGGGGCCCCGAGGAGCGAGCCCAGTGTTTTGACCAACATCACGATGGAGAAGATGTGTGTCTCGACCTCGCCAGTAGATGCAGCTTCTCCTCCACGCTCGATGGAGTCACCGGTGACCGAGGAAATTGCTGGTGATTTGAGCAATGAGAGCGTGAAGATCGGCAGTGCAGAGCCGAGAGCATAGACGAAAAGCCCTGGTATCAATATCCATATGGTCGCTGCCAGAGCAATAGCGAGAGCGCCGACGACAGAAACACCAAAACATGCGTTGGCGAAGTGTATATTGATTCGGTCCGATGAGCTCAGTGAGTCCTCACTCGGGAGAGGCCTGGTGACGGAGCGCAGGGCCCGTGGTATCACAAATGTCAATAGCGTGAAATTGACAACGGCCTTGCCTGAAATGAGATATCCTGCTGAAGCGAACGTCCAGTGATATCGCTTCGAGATGTACTGGACTAGAAGCTTGGTGTCAGAGCTAGCTAATGACGTGAGAAAGAAGCAGACGAGCATCAGCGTGAAGTTCCGCGAATGTCTCTTCAAGACCTGCTTGAGGTCCCGGAAGCGCTCCATGACTGAATGCAGCAACGAGGGATCATTCGCGTCCTGGGCTTTCAGCAGGGGAGACGACAAAAGAGGCTGTGCCTGCTCATCGCGGTCGCGTGATGAGGATGTGTGATCAGGAAGCATGCGGATGACAGGCACTGCTGCCAATAGCAGGCTGATTCCGATCCAGAATGGAAGCCATAGCATCACGGTCATAGACAGGGACGCCAACGCGGGCCCCAGCAGGTTGACGACGTACGATACTGAGCTCATGTAGCCAAAGTATGAGGCTCGAAGAACGTAGTCGTCCGTGATCCCGGCCGCCAGTGAATAGGTGATGGAGTTGAAGACGCAATCCCCGCCGAGAGACGAGAGCATTGGTCCCAATATGATAGCCATGGTGGGCAAAATTTGATCAAAGTAGCCGACGAGGACGGCCCAAGTCAACATGAAGACCCTAGGGACAAGATTGAGCCATAGCACAGCCCGTCTTCCGTACCTCTCAGCGACAAAACCGAGTGGGATTGTCATGATGAAGTCTCCAACGACCCAGATGGTGTCCATCGTTCCCTGAATCCATCCTAGGCCAATCTGGACGCCATCAATCTTGCAAAGCGTCTCCTCGATGCTGCCATCCTTTCCGATCTGGGAAGGATCATGTTGACGATAGTGTTCCAAGCAGAGACGCCGCTCAATCACCAAATTCAGTGGCAGCTGGTACAAGCTTGCTGCGAGGTTGACCAGCAAGAGCAGAGTGAGAAGTGCGGCGATGGCAGATTTAGGAGGTTTTGGGGAGCGAAACACACTGACGGCGGCAGCAGCAGCAGGTTCATCATCATCACTATGCTGGGGCATGGTGAGGAAAACGCAAGTCGCTGCTTGGGGACGCTTTGTCGCCCGCTTGCCATTGGAACGAGATCGCTATCAATCGTTGTCGGGAGGGTAGAGGGATTGGAAGTGTGGAATGCGGCCAATCACAGGTCACGGGCTGATTAGCTAATAGGGATCTGAGTGGTCTGGCTACTGGCAGGGGTCCGATTAGGTAAGCCCCCCGGAGCCGCTGCAGGGATCAGGGCCCCGCATGCTCCACACCCGGCCTTCCGGATCCACGGATCCGGACCAAACGGATATAATGCGATATCTCCACCAATCTTTTCACGAAGAATATAATCTCTTCTTTTCACCATAACGATCACTCAGCGGCCTGCTGGCGCAATGGTAGCGCGTCCGCTTCCGGGTTCGGAGAGTGCGGAAGGTTGTCGATTCGAGTTCGGCGTGGGTCGTTTTTGCACTATCTGTCTTCGTTTTTTGCTTCTTCGTTTTCTATGGTCACATTGCGCACATGTTTACCCTAACTCAGGCTCCTCTGAACTCTAGAGAGACTGTACGGTGGAGTATGCGATTGAAAGGTAATGCACAAAGGGATCCCCCGCATGGTCCGGTGCCCGGCGGGTCAACGGTCTCTGTTCCGAGTAGGGCTGTGAGCAAGAACTTTTTAACCTTTTCTTGTACTATAGGTTTCTGTTCTCCTTGGAATC